TGCAAGCTGCTTTGGCATTGCCTGAACTCCATATCATAGCTCAGAACATATTTATTTTCAATAATTTGAGAGCTTAAAAGTAAGCATCATTCATACTTCATACTTCTGCACAATTATGGTTACCAGTTCCGTACAATGATGTTTTCACCGATCTAGTGTTGCTGTGCATCCATCTGTGTGGTTTCGAAGAGTTCTACTTTGCAGCATGCTCACACTGTTGCCTGTATAAGAAGATGCTGAGAATCCCTTCCTGGAGACGTGCTCCCTATGTAGATAATGTCTGGAGTAGTTTGTGAGCCTCTCACACCTATTCTTTTATCTTTAGTGGCACCCAGCGGGGTGAGGATGTAGCTGTACTTTCTAGTTGAGGTCCCAATTTCTGTTACTCATTTTAAGCTAATTTGCCCAAACAGGAAGAACTGGGAATCACACTTGGAGGTATGACCAAAATCATCCTGTCATCAAGGGTCTAACTTTATCAGTCCCCAAATGGGCTGTCTAGCCAAAAGCATTCATCTAGATTTCTTCTGTTATCAGTGGAAAGGTACCTCACAGGTACCTCTTAACTTGGCTCTTCCCCATCTAAGATCGGAGTTAGAGTCGGGTGCAGTGAATCCCTGGTCACTGTCCTTGGATAAGCTGTATGGCCAGTGTACCACAGCCTGCCCCCAGCTAGACTGAGATAAGGTAAACCCTCAAGATAGATTAGGTAATATGAAGCTACAGTCTGTGAACCTGTCCTAGGTGCAGAGCTGGCTGGGGAGTTGCAGTGTCCTGATGCAGTCCTCACTTCCTTCTGGAACTTTATTTGCAGTTGTGGAGGGTTTTTTTTTGTTTTAAGGACTCTCTTACTCCGGCCAGCATTAGGAAAAAAATCAGTAAAAGTAGCTATTGTGAGAAATAGGATTTGTTCCTTGTCAGTGGTATGTTGTTTAAAAGATGTCATTGAGCAATTCTGTCCTAATAATGACATTTAAGTGTATGTAATCCTAGAGCATAAAAAACCAACCCCAAACGAGAATCTATTGATCTTTTTGTCAATGTAAATGAGGCAAAGCACTCAGAAGATACTCAGTATCTTTCAGTGTAGCATACAGCCTCAAAACACACCTTGCTTAGTAGTAAGTTCATTTGAGAACGTGATCTTAAGATTCTTCTTTGTGGAGACAGAGGCTTAGACCTGTTCCCATATTATTAAACTTAGGAGCACTTGACAAATCTGAGGATAAAAAATGAGTCCCTCTCTGACCACTGAACTACGTGTAGTTCATTGAAGTGAGCTATATAATCAATAGCCTCTTGAGATAATACCATCCCTGTAATGAAGTAGGATGAAATTGGCAAAAGAATACGTTCTCTTGGTTGCACATATATTTTTCTTCAGTTACAGAAAATGCCTGTTATTTTCTCTAAATTTTATGCATAATTTAAAATACATGAATTACATAGAAAATTGATTAAATATTAGCAAAAAGACTCAATGAACTGTGCTAGTGAAATAAAACAATTAAGGGTGCCCTCTGAACCAGCCCCATGAGCAAAATAAATGAAAGACTAGGTATTGCGGAGTCTACAAGCCAGTGCTTTCCCAACAAAGTGAAAGAATTGAATATTCATGTTGAGAACCCTTCACTGGAGTGCCTTCGCTTGGTCTTACTGTCCAAATCTGGAAGCTGTTAAATGAAATGCCTCAACTTTCAGTGGAAAGTAAGAGGAGGGCAATTAGAGCCAGGACACAATTTCCAGACTGTTTAGGGCCCAGTGCATCAAAACAGAACCTGATACGAAGGGGTTAATTGGCAGGCAGTTCTAGTATCAAATGCTCCATCTTACAAATGTTTTCTAACAGTCACATTCTGGACTCTTGGATGTCTCTCAGACATGGCCCATAAAAAGACAGTTTCAACAATTCACTCTAGATGTAGCAAAAGATGCATCTGGTGAGATTATAATAATGTTTCCTTTTCAAAGATATTTTTTGTGCCGTTGCTGCAGTTTCACCATCCAAAAGTACCTACAGGTGGATATCCTACGCAGTTCAGCTGAGAAAAAAAGTAGATGGCAGAAATTGCATAGGTGAAGGAGCAACTGTCCACTTCAAAATCGCCCTCCAAGTTGCCCAGCAGCCAGCCAGTATTGCTCATCAGCCTGCTGTCCTCACCCGAGCCTGTTCAGGTTACACATTGCTAAGCAGAGACTGCAGCACCCAAAGAGAAACCATATAAACTGGAGCTGTTTGGGTCTTCAGAGGGCCTCACTGCTTGTCCCTCACTTTTGCCTTTGACAGCGCATTGTCCATCACTCTGCAGAATTTCCATGCTCAGCAAACAGCACGTGTCCAACACTGAATCCCTGGAGCAGTCTTTATGGAGAGACTCCAGCTCTGAGATCAACTGAAATTAGTGAGAGGTTAAAATCATTGGAACTGAGGAATTAGATTTACCTCACAAATTTGATTCATTTTAAATAGGAACACTTTTTCCCTTAGTTTTGCCCATAACAACTCCTGGTCAACACTGCTTCCAGAAAATAATCGGTACAGAACCACACAGAATCACAGAATGTTAATTCACATATTTAGGTTTCTGTCCACTGCCAGACAGTAATTCTGTAATCCTTTGTGCAATATAAATAGGTTTGAAAGATGGAATGAATTCACAGCATTTTGAGACTTCCTAGCATTGGCAGGGAGATGCATTGGCCCTGTCCCTGCTCTGCTTGCTCTACCCTAGAAATAGGAAGGGGTTGGTAATCTGAAGGGCAACTGATTCCAGAGAGATGATGTTTTCAGAGCTACCCTGAATGATTGGCATATAGGGTAGACTGACCTCTGCTGAGGCAGTCAACACATAATCTATTAAAACCACTTGCACTGAGGGTCATTGCACACTTAGAGAAGTGCCAGCCTGTTCAGAGAGGTAGATGGTCACCATCACTACCGGTGTCTTGAGAGGTTTTTATTCTCAGTTTTAAGAAGTAAATTGAATTGTGAGAAGTAAATTGTAAAGCTAGAAGACTGCAGTGAATAGAGATAAGAAATTAGTAATGTACATAGGTCTAGAAATGTTTTTAAAAGTCAGTTGAACAAAATGTCATTCTTAATGTAAGAACCAGGTAAAATACTATTAACTATGTAATCTGGATGTAATGCCTCATTTTTTTTGGATGAAATTAGTATGGTTTTATTTTTCTCTCTCTTCTTTGCAAACAATTAAGGCCATTGTCTTAGCAATATGTGTACTAGAGCTAGATTCCATTGGGAGCCTTCTATGGACTTCAGTGCTCACACTCTCAATCAGATCATTCACAAAGCAGCTTCGGGGATCATCTTCCTCTGGGTCAAGATAATAAGATAGGCCTAGTTTAGAGATGGGATGTTCTTCTGGTGTTTTGGGTGTGCAAAAGGAACAGTGCATTTATTGGTGCATGTTACTAGCTTTCTGCAAAAAATGAGTGTACAGTCAGACACCCTAGATGCTTTGTTTTATTTCCAGTTTCTTGTGCCTTCATTTTTACACTTCTCTTTCTTTTAGGGAGAGCATTGAGAAAAGACACTCCAGCCATCCTTCGCCAGCACCTATCCATCCAGTGAACTCCCTCGGACATAATCGCAGCTCAAATGAGCAGATCAGAAGCCATCTGAATCCCGAGGTTCGAGAAAAAGAGAAACCCAAAGAACGAGAGAGGGATCACTCCGAATCTCGGAAGGAAATTAATGTTGAAGAGCACAAGGTGAAGGACAACTATATTTTGGAGAAAGAAGGCCTGAGCCATGAAAGCCGAGTGGTGGAAGAGTCTAAGCAAATGCCCAGGGTTCCTTCACCCTATGCTAGGCCCCCCGTTGTGGAGAGCACCAGGCCTAATAGTACTTCAAACCGTGAGGCTGAGAGGAAGAACGAGCCAGCTTATGATAATCCGAAGAAGAGCAATGAAGTCAAAGTGAAGGAGGAGCGAAAGGAAGACCATGATGTTCAACCTGAGGGACCTCAGACTCATAGGTCATCTGATCAGCCACCACCTATATCTACATCTAGCGTCCATCCGAGTCCTTTAGTGTCTATGCCCATGACTGTAGGTGTAACTGGTATACATCACATGAACAGCATCAGTGGCCTGGATAGGACTCGCATGATGACCCCTTTTATGGGAATTAGCCCAATTCCTGGTGGAGAACGTTTCCCCTATCCTTCTTTCCACTGGGATCCAATGAGAGATCCCTTAAGAGATCCATACAGAGACCTAGATATTCATCGGAGAGACCCCCTGGGCAGAGACTTTTTGCTAAGAAATGACCCCCTTCATCGTCTTTCTACGCCAAGATTATATGAAGCAGACAGGTCATTCAGGGATCGGGAGCCTCACGACTACAATCACCACCACCATCACCACCACCCTCTCTCTGTTGACCCTCGGCGTGAGCATGAGAGGGGCAACCACTTGGATGATAGGGAGCGGTTGCACATGCTCAGAGAAGACTATGAACATGCACGCCTGCACTCAGTTCACCCTGCCGCCTTGGATGGGCACCTGCCTCACCCAAGCCTAATCACACCAGGACTTCCTAGCATGCACTACCCCAGAGTCAGTCCCCCGACGGGACACCAAAATGGCATCCTCAATAAAACTCCCCCCACAGCAGCTCTCAGTGCCCCTCCACCGCTTATTTCTACTCTGGGACCTCGGCCTGGGTCTCCCAGAAGGACTACTCCTCTGTCAACAGAGATGAGAGAGAGGCCGCCTTCTCACACCCTCAAGGACATCGAAGCTCGATAAGCGGAGTGAGACTAAATAAAAACCAGAGAAAGAGGGACAGAACGTTGTAAATGAACATAATATAAAGATCTTCTTACTAGTCATTGATACAGACTGGGGATGTGACCCACTGTACAATATGTATAGACCTGAGTGCAAAGATTTTGAAACGGTTTTTTTGTATATTATATGTTGAAATTTTCCAGCTCTTTTAGCCAAGTCCATATGTTCCTCGTGTCTCCTACTCTATTTTATTTCTAGTTTAAAAATTTCAAAATTTGAACTGAAGAACAAGACATTAATCTGAATGATTTGACTAGAAACAAACCACCACCAATGCCAACCATACAAAGCTCTTTCAGACGAGAAGTGAAGACAATTGTAGATATTTATGTAAAAAGATTGCTTCATGGGTAACGGTTCATATATGCAAAAAGGGTAAGATGAAAGCTTTACTTTGTACAAATGTAAATAGATAAAATTAAGTAACATAATACATTAATACTTCTTAAACTGTGCTATTTGCAAACTTAATATTGAGCAACACAGTCTGCTTATGCTGTGTTACATATATTGTTATAGACAGCTAAACCCCTTCAACTATGCAATGAATTTTAAGGCTTTTCACAAAAGCCTTTATAACTCAAAGGAGCCTTTTCAACACACAACATAATTAAAGTCATATTTTCCCTGAACAAGCTCATCTATAATAGAAACCTCTTCCTCTTGCTTGTTTTGGTAAAGAAACAGCCCATTAGAAGTGTAGTTTTCTGTCTGAACCCCTGCATCGAGATGCTGATGTTACTGTAGCTCATGTATTCCTTAGAACGTGCCAGGGTTAGCGATCTGTAATCACTGATACTGTAGTCATGACAGATTGGTTTTCAGTCACATTAATCTGGGTTAAACAGAGTAATAATCAAATGCTGGATGTTTTCCAGAACTTTTGTCACTTAACATGTCAAATTTCTTTTTGGAAGAACATCTGCTTATAAGCATTCATGTCTGGTTTTATTGCCAGTGTGTCATTTTTATCTGTACACACACTGGTTTTGTTGGGGGGTTTTTTGGTTGTTAAGTGATTTTTTGCTACATTGAAACAAATCCTACAAGAAAGCTAATACTTTTCTAAATGATGGATATGTTTTCACTGTGGATCAGTAGTTTAATTAATGAACTCCGATGCAGATTTCATAATGCAATTTATTGTATTTCAGTTGGTAATAAAGTCTGTGAATAGTTAACAGGTCAGCCTTGTTGTTCCCTAATCATAGAAGACATGAAATAACATGAAGAACACGGTCCTTTTTAAAAATACACATCAATCTTCTGAAATCTGTCTTTTCATAACACACTTTTTTATAATGCGTTAAGTTTCTTGTCGAAATATTTGGAGAGAATATGACTTTATCAGAGAGAATTCAATATCTTGTCTACTGGACTGTAAAATGTATGTATGAAATAAAATTAGTTCCATTGGTCTTCTAGTGTATTAAAGTGCTATCTGAAGTTGTTATCCTGTTTTGGCAAAAAAAAAAAAAAAAAGAAAAAAGTTAACTACAAACAGTTGTTTCTAATGATCAGAGATCTATTTTAGTAGTCAACTGAAGGTTTAGTTGTGAGCTTCAGATTTTGTGAACTCCAGATGTTGTGCAGTGTTTTTTTTTTTTTAAGAACAAAAGGAAAAATACAAAAAAAACCCAACCCTGAAGAATATGTACACTGGAACCGTAGTGGTAGCTTTCAGTATTGTAAAGAGATTGTTATATACAAACCTTTTTGCTGTTTATCCTGTATGTAATAAAGTCCTTTCTAGATCCTATGTGAAAAGAAAAGTGAAGCAGCTCTCAATCTTCAGCATGTTTCCTCATCAGCGAAGACTTGTGTAATGTAAATTGTGCCATGTTATTAAAAAATGTGAACTAAACTGCTAGGTGCTTCTTTGTGTGGAGTACCCCATCATTGCTATGGGGAAGAAATACTTTCTCCCAAGAGTGGGTTTTTGTTCAGAAGAAATAGCTATTAAAAATGTAAAGGAAACGGCAAGTTTTTATAAGCCATCTTATTAAAATTATTATAGCAATCAGGAAAAAAGGAACAAAAAGGAGACCGGATCCTTGGCTTGTCCAGATTCTTTAAAATACAGTAAACATCATTAGCTTTTAGTTGGTCTTTTCAGGGTAGTCCCGTACCTAAGTCTGTGGCTGTCTGCCAGCCCTTTTGTGACTTTGGGCAGTTCCACACAAGCCAATCACATTTTACCAGTTTTCATCAGCTACAGGTACAGCTGTTGGTTACTATGAACAATTTGTACATAAACATGTCCAATTTCTTGCAAATTGCTTAGTTTGTCATAGTAGAGCTTTCGTGGTGTTCTTTGTTCTTTTTTTGGGAGGGGGGCGGGGGGAAGTAGCTCCTCATGATAGATGATTTCTAGGAGGGTTTGGAGGGTTATTTTTTAGTTTGGGGTGGGGTTTTTTTTACAAGCTTGTTACAGACACTTCAAAATCTTTATCCAGGTTTGGCAGAGATCACTTGTGACACTGAAATTTGCTTTCCTGAGCAAGACTTGGGAAATCTTTCTTCTCCATCAATAATTGCCAGTTGTTTTGGTAAACAATTAAATGTATGCAGCCATATATTCAAGTTTGGGTTTGTTTCTTTCTTCAGCCCTGTAGCACTTCTGTCTGTTTTTTACTCTTTCTCCCATGTAAATCTGATGAAAGTGAAATCTCCCTGAATTTCAGCCACGTAACTAAGAGAAAAGAATGGCCCTAATTCAGTTTTGTGTGAACTGTGCAGAATGTACAATAGTAGCATAATGTGCAAAAAGAGCTTTTTGCTTTTTTCTGTATGGAACCTGTATCTTTGTCTTCTGGATGCACATCATTAAAAAACCTTCCAAGTTTCTGAAGGAAACTAGTCATAGATGGCCGTAGAAGGATGAGAACTATTAGAGCAAGCTGGCACAGTGTGAGGGGCCCCATGAGAGAGGGTCTAACGAGAGCATCATCTTCCAGGCTCATCTCGGAGCATTGTAATAGGAGCCTTAACAGCTTTGTCAGTGTCTTTGGGGGAAGAAATGTGGCAGCTGATTGTACAGAGTAAGATCCTTGTCCTCCCAGGTGCTGAGCGTACTCCTGCTGATGGTCCTTAATTCCCAATCAAGCCAATGAGCCCTTACTCCCAGAGTCCCAGAAAGCATTGAGGCATTTCACTGCCTTTGATTCAATACCATTTAAGTGGCTATATGCCTTTGAAGATCTGGGTGTCAGGTCTTTTAGAAGAGTGGTGATGCTCAGAGGAATATGCCTGAAAGGTATAGTAAAAGATGAAACAAGATTTTGAATGCTTTTAAACTTTTTCAGATGCTTTCGTTGCCTTTTCAAAAGTTATCTTGCGGGTATAGACAATTTATTCTTTTTAACAGGGCTTCCCATTTAAGACATTTGTCTTAAATCTTCTCATTTTAAATCACTAGTATTTAAGAAAAGATTATTTAAAGGCCATGCCTGTACCACCTGTAGGATTGAAATGAGTCATAACGGTATTTCTGTAGGGTGTGAGAGGCTCTGATCATAGAAAACCCTGAGCTACTCTGCTGACCCACACCCAGGACCTTTGCTTTGTGCTTTAAAGCTCCCACCATCCCACACCCCATAGTTTTCTACTTGGCACCTTCCTATCACCACTGAGTTGCCAACTAGAGCAGCGTGTAGGAAGTGATTCTTTTGACAGCAGTCATAACATTTGTCCTCTGATACAATGTTCATTTTATGCCATGCTTTGTCCCTTCTTTTTTAACTGTGTTGTCATCTTTGTTTTTCCTTACTAAATACCTAGCTTTAACCTGGTTTTCTGCTGTTCACACCTTACTGATACTCTTGCCTTTCTGCCAGTCATGTTGTCTTTCACAGCCTATGGTAGCTGAAGCTACTATAGGCAGCAATAAACACTGCAGACAAATTTTTCCGAGAGCATAGACACTGTGTATTTTTGCTCCTTTTTACCTTTGCCTGTGTGAGCTCATGAAAATTTGTAGTCCTTGCTGGATTAGAAGATAGGCAAATGGAGGTTGGGGTGGATTTTGCTGAAAGTAATTTCATTTGCTTTGGCTCTGCCTTGTTGAGTAAATACTTAGTATGAAACTCGATAATTTGAACTCTTAACTGCAGGTGACCTCTGCTGAAAGCCACCTGGGGCACTGGAACAAGGTAACAGACCATTGGCAATATTCCATTTACAGAGGAGCTACTTTTGTTTCTGGCAAGAAAGAAGAGCGAACTGTGGTTCAATGACCAAAGACTCAAATTATACAGGGTTTTGTTATTCCCACGGTGACTTGGTTAAGTCTCACCTGGATAAACCAACTTGCTGCTTTGGACTCCAGATGCCATCTCTGGAGGCATATTCGTCCATAGCTTCAGAGCAGGATCCCATCTTCAATGGTCTGAATTGCCTTTTGCAGGTGACTCTTCCTCAACTCTGGATGGAGACTAGCCTCTTAAGTTAGCTGGTTCAGAGAAGTTCATGCAAATGAGTGATGGGACTATGTCCTCCCTTGTGGTTTTACAGTCCCATCCGATCTTCCTTTGCACTGTAAAGTACCAATTCTAGCTGTTCTGTATGTGAAGCTCTTTGGGACACAGTCTGTCTCTTACTACGTGACTGCACTGTGTTTGGTGCCCTGACTGGGGCAAGTGAGCATTTCTCAGTGCTGCTCTCATAAAAAAAAACCTTCAGTAGAACTAGAGACCAGAGGGAAAACTGAAGGCCTCTGTGAATTAGCCATGGTAACCACTATAAAAGACCAGATTTTTGCTAGCCAAGAAGAAACAAAGCTGTGGGTGAGGCCAGACTGTTCTCCCTGTGCCCTGTCTCCATCTGGAGGCGCTGAGACTGCTTGTGGCCATGGGCAAGGTGAAAGTTCCCAGCTGGCAACGCCTCCAAGTGCTTATCGTGGAGCTGGCAGTTCCCAGCACGGTCCCTTTCTGCCAGCTGTGTGTTCAGGGCATGTAGGGGCTTTCTTATTGTGCAGGCATCTTGCAACTAAAATCATTTTAGTCAAAGACATTTCCTGGTCATAAAGAATATCCCCCTCCTCAGTTGTGTGCCTGTATTTACGTACCTCAAAATGCACACGCACCGTCAGGCGCAGCATCCCAGGGACGAAGCTCTGTACAGCAAGGAGCGGAGTATGAACTCATGATGGCACCCTATGATCTCACGTGTCCTTTTTCCTGCTTTGTACTGAGGGCTTTTCTGTAGATTGCAGTCACTGCATTTAATGTTTCATCTGCAGGTCTGGTAATACTTCACTATCTCCTTATCCCCCTTTTATAAATAGGAAAAGTGCAGCTGGGAACACAAAACTCAGACACCAGTGTAATACCAGCCACCTACACCTGAGTCATCCCAGGAGTCACCCAGGGGAAATAGTTTACTGCTTTAGTCACCACGAGAACAAAAAAACCCTGAATCAGGTAAATTGCAGAGTTGATGGTAAGAAATGAGGAATTTCTGGGGTGCTGTTTTGTCTTTAGAAAGCACTTTTAACCCTAACCCATGTTAACAACTTCCCAGGGTTCTAGATTTGCTAAAATTATCTCCATGAAAGAATGGGTTTACTTATTTATTGATAATTCACGTACCTCAAATATTGACTGCCGTTGATAAGGCCTATGGTCATGCTCGTTACTGGGGGCAGATATGCTGTATTTTACCACCTAGTGTGGCTTTGTTTAATTGTCACTATTGCTCAGTATTGAAACTCAGTGTAGCATTTTTCTTGGTTGGATTTATGATATGTTTCTCTACTGAAAGACTTGTGTTTAGCCCTAGGAATCCTAGCCATCCACCCCCAGTACAATCATTGTTGTTTCAAGACAAGAAAATAATTAAGCAAGACTTTACCTATCAAATATACAATATTACTGTATGTTGATGAAATGCATCTTCTGCTTTGCATCTTCAAAGCCCTTAACTAGTTTCTGTTGAATCGGTGGCTTGTTTTTGTGGGGTTTTTTTGATGCAGCAGAGATTGCATTAGTATCAAAATCTTGGAAACTAGATTTTTTTTTTTTTAAAACCCCAATCAAACCTCTGAAACAACCACCAGCTACTTGCCCTCCAAAAGAAAAGTTTTATCTCAGTTAATACTAGAACAGCCAAGTAGAGCTGGATTTATTTTATCCTGTTAGAAAAGGCTGTCATTCTTCAGAGATACCACAAGAGGGTAGTTAAA